GTTATTATTAACTATTCCTACACAGATTTTTCAAAAAGAATCTAGTTTTTGTCCGGATATTTCTGTGGCTGCAGATTTGGTTGAAAACTCAGTTCTAGGGAAATTCAACCACCTGAATAGGGGAATCACATTAATTTTGCGTTAAGTTGCCAGGCCCCGCGCCACAGCGCTGGCGCCAGGATACCCAAAATCACCAAATCCGCCATAAACTTGTACTTTAACTTAACTTTACTCTACTTTAGGTGTAAATACTTTGCGTCAGCGTCTTGGGCGTTTCGAGCGTAAGCAGCGTTTTGAGCAACTATGAAAGTGTAGACATCGATTTAGCAGCTTTTGAGCGTTTGCTTATAGTTTGGGACTGTTCGCGGGAGGCGCTGAAAACGCTAAAACGTACGCGCATGTAGTTCGATCTCTATGCTTTCCCAGCCGCTCTAAACGGTCCCGTACGCTCTTAACGCTACAACAAAGTATGGACGCAGTCTTGCTATGCCGCTTACATTCTGCATACATTCTCAAACTGTTACCTGCACTATAAATGATAAATGATATCAAGCCAAAGTTGAATGAAGACAATCACTAGTGTTCAGGGCGGTACTCCGCTCTGGGGAAAGGAGAGAGAAGACGTTTTGTAAACACTTGTGAATGTGGTGTTACGCTTTATAAAGTCTTGTAAACTTATACAAAGCTGAGAAATGGTACGTTTCGGGCTGCGTACGATATGCTCGACCTCCTAAACACGAATGTCACATCCGCTCAGCCTAAAGCAGCTTGGATATCCACGACCACCGAATCCGGCGAAAACTTGCGCTTTAAGGTAGACTGGCTACCTAAGCACGGGTGTCACATCCGCTCAAGATGGAACTGCCTGGCACCCTCGCAATGGTACCCTGGATTGCCGAATTCGCAGAAAAAATTTTTTTTCAAAAATTTTCGAGTTACGAAAGTCAGGGGCGCAAACAATGAAAAGCTCTGCAAGTCTGCCGAGGGGACTGGTCACCATCACACGGAAACGGTATATCTCTTCTTGGGAACGGTAAACATGTCCTGTAACGTTACTGTGGTTTTTTACTACCGTTCTGCTCGACTCACTTCCTGGACCAGCGATTTGACGAGTGCCAGATTTATGATTTCGGCGAGAGGCGAAAGCGTGCGGCTGGATAAATCGGAGTTTGCCAAACAATATGGAGCGTGGAGAAACAGTGGGAGCATCCTTGGGTTGGGAGTACTGAATGTATACTCACTCATCACTCTATGGTTTACTACATTTTATGTAACTTTTTTCAAGGGGACCTCTGTAGAGGGACAACTGTTATGCTTGGAAGAATTAGTTTACTAAGATTTTACTTGCTTCCCTTATTTTTTTACTTCGTAATGCGTTTGTGCGTATGTGAATTACGCGAATTTGGAGAAACCATGGGAGTACTTTATGCGTATGTAAATTAGAGGTTTTCGGTCGATGACCGCTTCCTTCCTCGAAAACGCCCACGAGGCTACTGCACAGGAAGAGTCTAGGACTGAAAGATACTCATAGATGTCACACTTTAATATAATCACCAAAACTCAATAAGGTGCTACGTCCCCAACGAATAATGGAACCAGGTGTGAGGTTACTGTAGCTCCGCAAAGTTCGTAACGGCACACAGCCGCATCTGTACGAAGGAATGGCGCCGTGTTTCGCAAGACTACTATGTGTTGGCGTGTAATGTAGTGTGGTGGTGCACTCAACATGGATGTTTTTCACTTGACGCGCAAATTTGGGGGGTACTGTAATTGCCTGACAACCTGAACTTATAATCTTGTGCTGCACCTACCTGACTCCTTCAGAGCTTGATCCAACTGCTTCTCGCGATACGCAGCTTTCTTCTCCTTGAAGTTGTTGAATTTTTTAACCTAGATGAAAAGTTACGTCAAGATTCTAGTTTACAACTGAAACGTACGCTGCAATAACTAAAGTCAAACTACTCAATACCTGAATAGTTTTAAACTTAAACAGTTTTTCAGCATACTTGCGATACTCCTCTCCGGTAAGTAAGTAATCCTCCTGACGCTGAAAAAAAAATGTGTTCGTATCTATAGCATATGGAAAACTACGGTGCGGAATTCAGGACTGGCGTGCAATGACCTACTTAACTTAGACATTGCAGCTGTCGAAATGAACATTACAGGTGCCGAAATAAAGTGTCATGTGGCTTCCTCTTGCTTTCTTTTCTTCGAAATATTGCCAGATAAAGCATTTATCTGGGCTGACAGCTTGACTCTCAAGTTATCCCTAGGGGACCTTCCAGTAATAACGAAGATTTCCCAACCAACGATAACCAGGAACCACTAAACATGCGATCGCTAAATAAAATCGAACGCTTGAAAAGAACGTATCGTCCGGACTGGTATCCACATTTTAGGTAGCACTCTTACTGCACCATTATACATAAGGACTTTCTTCACAACTTTTCCTATAAAAAAGCTCAAACTCCGAGAGGTTTTAGGAATTCGCTTCGAAATTAATCAAGAGTAAACAACCAGAGACTGCTTCATATAACCAATTTCTATTCCAATTTCAAGGGCTACTTTTGAGGCCGCAATCATAATTTCCGACTCGGCAGAATACATGGGAGAAAAGAGACATGGGAGAAAAAGCGCCAGGAAATGGGAACAGATCGACTTCTGTTGATAGCGCACCTTCTCCCAATTTGCTAATTCTCCGATTCTCCTAATGCGCCAATCCTCTAATGGTAAGATTCTCAAGTCCCAGATTAAAACATATACTTTCCTTTAACGTGCACTTTACGAAAACTTCGATTTTCCTAAATCCTAGGGATCGCCCATGTCGACGGGCTAAAAGAGGCGTCTCTACGAGGTGCGTATTTGCTGCCAACTCCTTTGCACATACATAAGTCTCTGCCTCTCTCTTGCACCTGGGTCTCTCGCAACTATCTCTGCTAGCGTATACACTTCCGGCTGCCTTCAAATGCATAAGGCCTACAAGAGCCCAGTTTCTAGAATAAAAAACTCTCAGGTCGTTAACTGCTGGGTACGTATTCAAAGAGCTTGAAATTGAGTGTAGTCAAACCAGACTTAGAGGTTGCACGACGCAAATTTTCTCCTGTAGGAGGTTTGACAGCATCCGACATATCTGTTGGATTTCCACTCTCAATTTTCTATACTTTATCGCCCACCTTAAACTTTAACACCGCAAATTACGTAAACGTTACGTTTAACATTATCACAAGGATGCTTGGCTATGGGCTATGGACAAAAGTCAGACCCCCGGAGTGCGAGGCATAACGGATAGCGGACGGCCTTGTCAGCGGGAGGTGCGAGTTCGTGTGACGCCTGAGATCCGAATTTCGCCCATAACTCAACACGCTTATGATATGATAACCTTCTTAGCACAGACTGTGGCGTTAGAAAGCGTTTATCATACTAAAACAGCTATGTTCAACGTTACCGAATATGACAACTGACTATGAGATCTTGTTTGATGTGATTGCCCGTCAGAGGAAGCAAATTAGTGAATAAAGCAAAATGACATGCAGATAGTCAACTTTCCTTTCGTACTTTATTAGATGTAACGTTGCTTGAAGAGCAACTATTAACAATTAGAGACAACTTTAGCAAATCATATAACCTTGCACTTCCGCCTTGGGATGATCTGTTTTTTTTTTTTCAAAAGAAGAAGAGATGTGAAACTTACCGTAGTGAAGATGAGATCAGACACCACAGCACCAACGAAGAATGAGTTCATCGGTGGTGAACAGGTGAACAAACAAAAAAAGGAAGCCTTAGATGCACGTAATCTTTGCTCATCGAACCTAGCCGAGAAGGGCAATAAGTGTCCATTATAGCACTTTCGCCAATTTCGGAAAGTACGACAAGCATTAGAAAAGGCAATCGAGAAAACGAAGATGAGTTTGTGATATGGCAGAAATGGTTAGGAATGGTTCATAGACAAGCAGAAGTGATGATTTGACACACCATTAATGTATCACTTTACGGTGACAACTGAATGAGAAAAATCAAAACTTACCCACAGAGCTTATACATTTTCAAGAATTTCGATTTATTCAGAGACAGAAGAGGACACCTGACTCGGGAAAGTAAAGAAATCCGGGTGATATTCTTTTACTTCCGAGTAGGTTAATGCGTGCACACGAAAACTGCTGACCAACTAACCTATTCTCACTCTGTCTCGCTATCAAGCAATTGGAAAGAGGTTCGGAAACGCCAAAATTGTTGGGGGGGGGGGGGACTAGGCCAAGCGCCATCCCACTCTAATCGTTTGCGCTCTTCCAAGAGAGAGAGGCCGGTGGGGATGGGGTCACTATTTAGGTGGGAGGGTGAAGGCTAATACGTCTAGTAACGCCGCCGCCTTCCCTGGCTGTTGTCTAAGGCAGCGTTCAGACTTCGCGACGGCAGCGCTTCGGTCGCGCGATTCGACGATCGATGCGCATGCTTTCGACTGCATCGATCGCGTCGAACGCGCGACCGAAGCGCTGCCGTCGCGAAGTCTGAACGATGCCTAAGGGTGCGTTCATACTTGCGGCAACGTTTCGAGTGACTAGGAAGGAATAGGTGTAGAACCAGTGTTCTAAGCGCCCGCCAGCGTTCTCAGCGACTAGAAAAGTATAGGTTTAGATTTGACGTGTGGAGCGTCAGCGCTCTGAGCGTTCGCCAGCGTTTCCAGCGGAAATCCACAGCTATCGTTTGTTAGTCGCTCAAAATGCTGCCGGATGTTCAGAACCCTGAAAACGTTAGCGGCTCAGACGCTGGATCGATAATTATACTTGCCTTGTCGCTCAAAACGCTAAAAACGCTCTGGACGCTGACGTAAAGTATGAACGCACTCGAGACATGCGAGTTGACCTGCGGCAACATTGGCGTGTTGAATCACTTGCTGCGCCGCGCATATGAAACCATTTGCAAGTCTTTCGCCAACTTTGAAACCACTCGGATGCGGTCTGACCCCCCTAGCGCCCATCCTGAAAATTCATGCCTCTCATCTATTAAACGCGACAAACCTCAATCTTCACGGCAGGAGCGATAAGTTTCTGTTTGATTTCACTTTCCAAAGCTGATTCGGTGGCAATATTCTTCTGTTTCTCAGCTTCTTTCGCAAGAGCAGCGTCCTAAACGGTCACGGGAAAAAAGGGTTAGTGTGTATCTCAAGAAGTAAAGCTGTATAAGTACCCTTTCAAGAACTTTCCGCTGATGAAGACATGGCACTCCTGTGACAGGGATACGATGGTCACGAACTCCTTGGGTTCCGATGAAGTAAGGCTTCGCCAACGATATCACACGTGTCTTTCGATGCTGACAAAGGCTATCATGTAGAAAAAGCAAGAAACCTCGGCACTATTTACCCTTCACTGCCCCAATCTTCCAAAACAGGCCAGTTTTTGACCGACTTTTTCTCCGTGGACAGATTTGGCTCAAATGTTGTCTCCTGGGGTAGTTTGACCTCCTGAATACGAATATCACATTCGCTCAGCGCGAAACTTCCTGGCGCCCGCGCCACAGGCCAGGCGCCAAAATACCCTAAATCCCCAAATTCGCTGAAAACTTGTTCCTAGGGGTAGTCTGACCTCCTGAACACGAATATCACATCCGCTCGGCCTGAAACCTCCTGCCGCCCGCGCTACAGGTGCTGGCGCCAAAATACCTCAGATCACCGGCGCCTGTGGCGCAGGCGCCAGGTTTCGGGCTATGTGAATGTCATATTCGTATTCAGGAGGTCAAAATACCCCAGGAGACAACATTTGAGCCAAATCTGTCCACGAGAAAAGTCGGTCAAAAACTGGCTCAATTCTGGATGGTTGGGGCAGTAAAGGGTAAATAGTGCCGAAACCTCAGCCAAGCTAGACGAAAAAAACTTTGAAAAGTGAGAGTTTACCAGATACACAGGCATCCCACTGTTATGCGTTATACGAGCCCATCCTTCTGGGAGATTCATAAAATGGTCATGTTCAAGGCGTTCGGGCACGTATTTCCATCTTAACGGAGCAGGAATATATACAGAGCAACAAGTAACAAGAAGTGAAATTGGAGAAAATATACCCAAACCTGTTGCTGGAACTATACTAAAACATCTCGAAACCTACATAATCGGTATAGGTTCAGATTCTTCTGCTTCTTTCTTAATCTTGTCGACGGCTTCTTCCAGGATGTCGTGAACATCAACGCCATCATCATACAAATCATCTGGAACATAATCAGCATGAAAGGTAAAAGAATTTACGACAACTGGAAATGAAGCGCACCTTCGTATTCCAAGTCCTGGTCTTCTTCGAGAGCTTTCTGTGAGCATGATTCTGACCTAATACAAAAATTATAAATTTTGTGCTACATTATCGAATAATCGAAACATTCTTTGGACCCTCTTACCCTTCACCAACTGAAACTGAAGCCTGTGAAACTGGACATGCCATTCCGTTTACACTTTTCCACTTGATCACCTAAGAAACGAGTGTAGTGACGGCTGCGATATTCTCTTTCTATTATAAGTCAAGCACCAGAAGTCAAATAATACTGTGTTCATACTTCGCGACTTGAGCGCACCAGTTGCGCGACTGCGTCTTCCGCGCTCAACTGCGACCCAGTGCCAGCTGCTTGTTGAATAAGTTGATCAATTCAATCAGTATTATTCTATCATCCATCATGTTCCCGAACTAAGTAAGATTCCGAGAAACAAAAAAAAACTAAAAAGGTTCTGGTAAGTGTTGGCCAGAGTTGGTGGACAGACCGGATAAATCCTGTGTCAACTTTAACGCGAAAAGGGTCAGATACGTACCAGTCGGGAACAT